GGAAAGATCCCCTTTCTGAAACCAGGGAGATGCTGCCAGTCAGTGTAAACAGTACCGAGCTAGATGAACCAATGATCTGATTACATATGAGGCAGCTTCCTGTGTATTCTGTGTAGCTGCTGATAATAATAATAATAATAATAATAATAATAATAATAATAATAAATTATTTACACACACCCCCTCTGGCTGGGTTTCCCCAGCCACTCTGGGCGGCTTCCAACAAAATATTAAAATACATTAGTCTGTTAAACATTAAAAGCTTCCCTAAACAGGGCTGCCTTCAGATGTCTTCTAAAAGTCTGGCAGTTGTTTTTCTCTTTGATATCTGATGGGAGGGCGTTCCACAGGGCAGGTGCCACTACCAAGAAGGCCCTCTGCCTGATTCACTGTAACTTGGCTTCTCGCAGTGAGGGAACTGCCAGAAGGCTCTCGGCGCTGGACCTCAGTGTCTGGGTAGAACGATGGGGGTGGAGACACTCTTTCAGGTATACTGGACCGAGGCCAGTATACACTTTGAATTGTGCTCAGAAATGTACTGGGAGCCAAGTATGGCAGCCAAGTATTTTTTTAAAAAAAAATAATATTTATTGCTTTTATACCTTACAAAAAGAAAAAAGAAAAAAGAAGAAAGACAAGAAGAGAAAAAGAAGGGAAAAAAGCAAAAAAGAAAACAATACAAAACAATATATAAACAATACAGAATGCAACATTAACATTAACACATTAACCAAACAAAAACAAAAACAATTCAAAAAAACAAACATTGTATCATCTCAGTATCCTCTCTTTCATTCCCTTATTTCATCGACCTCCTCTCACCTCCCTTTTTGTATTCCATTTCTATTAATTGTTTCAGCAAATCCTTTCCATCTTTCTCTATTTTCTGTCATATAATTATCTTAACATATTTTAACCTTATTTTCCATTAATACTATAATACTTATTTATACTTAATTACTTAAGATATTTCTACTAAAGCCATATAATTCACTTCCAACATTTTTCTAACACTCATTAATTTTACATTATTTCCATATATAGATTTTAAACGTTTTCCAATATTCTTCCACCGTCTCTTCTCCCTGGTCTCGGGTTCTGCCAGTCATTTCCGTCAATTCCGAATAGCCCATCAACCTGGTGATCTTCTGTCTGAGGCTCTTAACTCTTTTCCAGGTCCCTTCTGCAGGTCTTCTTCATATTTATACATGCACTTTACTTTGTCTTCTCCTGATCTTGTTCTTATTTTCCTTCCTTTGATGCTGAAAAGTCGATCTCCGGGGAATTCCCATCTAGCAATGTTTTTATTCCTTCCCAACAAGTCAACCAAATCTCCATAATTAAAACTGAAATTCAAAAGATATTTCCAATCGTGTTCCAAAGTTCCTCCAAGTCTGGCAGTCCCCACAACTCCAAATCTCTTTTTGACCCAAGTCCGGGTCCCAGAGGTCAATCTCCATTCCAATTCCAAGCGGGGCTCCAATCCTAAAAGTCTGACTTTCTCTAGATTCAGTCTTGGAAGTCATCAACTTATAATCATCCAATTGCAACTGAAAGGCTGGAGCTCTCTGCCTCACCACTTGTGCCACTTTAGATTCCACAACGAGAACTTTCTCCCCCGCCTTCTCCTCGATTTGCCATGTCAAAATAGATCCCTGTATCGATTCCTGAGTAATTTCTGTATTAATATTGACTTTTTGTGCCAAATTAGTCACTTTTTGTTCTAAGTTATCAATATTTATAGTCCTCGCATCCGTCTTCTTGAAAAGCTGTTCCAGTGAGTCATTAATGCAACCACTAAGGCTTCTTCTGTCAACATTCTTAACGAGTCAAGGTCAAATCCAATTTCTCACAGTTTTTATCTTGCAGATGGAAAATTCCCCCAACTCAGCTCTTGTAACAATTTCAAAGGCTTCCTCTAGGGGGAAACAGTTTCTATTTGTATCAATCCTTTTAAGCACAGTTCAAACAGTAAAGTTAGTTTCAATTTTCAGTTACTTTTACTCCTTTTTAAATGCAGAAGGAGACAATGGAAACAAGATAGTTCCCTTCTTTAACTTACTGTCAACAGACAATCTATTCACAGTCAATGAGCATATCCAAAACTTCAATGCTTACTAGCAGCCCGCTTCCAGGTTTAGAGCAGTGGTAATTTGGCTTTCTTCACTCTGTCCTGCAGGCTTACACGATCTTAAATCTCCCCCCTCTTCTCCTGCTTCCAAGGGGGGTTTAGTGATTTAACCGATGGAAGTTTGATCCTTTATGAGAGACTTTCCAAGGCTTTAGTTTGCAGCCTCTTTGCTTCAATCTATTTACAAAAGGGGAAGGCGGACTTCCTGTTTGAAACCTTCCCGTTTCGGTGCCAAATTAAGACGTTTAAAAATCCAATTTTCCGTTCTACTCACGGGTTGTTGTTTTAAGATCAAATTGTCCACAGGAAAAAGTCAGCGCTCTCCTGCAACAGCAATGCGGCTTCACTCCATGAAAAAAGCAGTCGATTCAAAGCACTGCGCCACTCACCCCACCTCGCTCCGGATCCCCGAAACCGGGTTTCCCTGCGAGTAGGGGGGCGCAAAAGGTGCCAGCCGAATCCCACGTCCACAAGCCTCTCCCGCCTGTGGTTTTTGATGGGTCTCCGCCTTCGCCGTGGTGGCCAGACCCTAATTTCCACGGAGCGGATTCCTCCCGATCAGAGGAATCCAGCCATTGCCGGAGGTGCCTCCCCGGAAGTCCTCCAAGTATGTTGCTCTATAGCCTCCTCAATCCTGAGAAGCTAGAATGGAATATAACATTTACTTTTGGATATATACTTAGTAATGGGCCTCATTTCTCATTGGCTCTTGCAGCGATTGACTGTTTCCTGTCTACCATTGAGGATCTATTGAGTTCAAGGCTTGTCTGAGATATCTTGATGTCCAAGAGGGAAAATCCAAATGCCACTTCTTCCTGGCTATCAAGTGGAGCACAATCCTCAGGTCTATTCTTCTATCCCAGATGCATCCAATGCTTTCCTAGACTTGCCTAGGAGACTCCGCAAGCAGATTGTGCCCATGGGACAGATCTCCTGCTTCCCAGTCTGCCCCCTTTAATATATTCAAACCTTTCCACTTGGCCGTCTCTCCTCACCACCCTCCAAAGAGGATCCCTTTGATTTGGTGGTGAAGTGCAAGATAATCAGACATGGTACAAGCCGCATAAGGTCCCATCCTGCATTGTAAACTATATAGGGTAGACCTTCCCTATGTGGGCTAAAATGACCAGATAGGTGTGATGCAGTCCGGTTGAAGCATATTTAGGGTCCATTGATTTCTCTGGCAGAGTTAAGCCCATGCTTATGCCAATCTATATGCTATTCATGGAAGCATCAAATTAATGGGAGACACATAGCATTCTGCTGGAGGGATCTCTGTGACCTAATGCCTCTGAGAATCCATGAAGTAGAGCCTTCACAATAGTATTCCTTGTGAATGGTGTGCAGGAAGGAAGGGGCTCCCCTTGTCTCCTAATCAGGTATGCCAATTGAATAAAATATAGGGGGGGACAGGTAGGTAAAGGTAAGAAAGGCAAACAAAGTTAAGTCCAGTCAAAGGTGACTATGGGGTTGTGGTGCTCATCCCGCTTTCAGGCTGAGGGAGTCAGCGCTTGTCCACAGACAGCTTTCTGGGTCATGTGGCCAGAATGACTAAACTGTTTCTGGCGCAAGGGAACACCGTGACGGAAGTCAGAGCACAGCACATGGAAATGCTGTTTACCTTTCTGCCACAGTGGTACCTATTTATCTACTCGCACTGGCGTGCTTTCAAACTGCTAGCTTGGCAGGAGCTGGGACAGAGCAATGGTAGCTCACCCCATCGCGGGGATTCGAATCAGCAACCTTCTGATTGGCAAGCCCAAGAGGCTCAGTGGTTTAGACCACAGCCCCATGCTGCATAATTGGTCACATGATGCCCCAGCCACTCTGGGTGGTTACCAACACATTTAAAACCATAATGAGACATCAAATATTAAAAACTTCCTGATACAGGGCTACCTTCAGATGTCTTCTTAAATGTGTGTAGTTCTTTTCCTTTAACTGATATCTGATGGGAGAGTGTTCCACAAGGAGGGCACCACTGCTGAGAAGGCCCTTTGCCTGGTTCCCTGTAGCTTCACTTCTCACAGTGAGGGAACTGCCAGAAGGCCCTCAGTTCTGGACCTCAGTGTCTGGGCTGAATGATAGGGATGAAGACGCTCCTTCAGGTATATTGGGCTGAGGCCATTAGGGCTTTAAAGGTCAGCACCAACACTTTGAATTGTGCTCCATCCTCAGTGTTATTAGAACTCTGTCCCTCAGTGTCTAGTGTAAAAATCCAGATGAAGGTAAAAGTAGAAACTAAATAATAGCTAAATAACTTTAAGACTAACCTATGCCGAACAGACACCCACAACCATCTAGGCACACAGGATACATGAGATAATCAATTCAATTTCTGGTCTGGAAGGCTCCATAGTGGTTCAGCAGCAGGGGCAATACAAAATTTCCAATTTAGCAGGTATCATTTCCATGTGGAGTCTACGGAATCAATTTGTATACAGAGCACACAGAGTAAAATAAAGTTCATGGCCAGATGTGAACGTTGTGAATTATTGTCTGAAGGCATTATACATAGGCCTGTCAAGATCAACATCCAGTAAGACTATCTAATGGATGGTGCACTGAAGGTTAAGCTGCAGCTTCCATTACAAAAACATATTCTTAGGGAGTTAACAGCTTTGTAACATAATATCTTTCAGGTTAAGTCACATTCTCCCCCTTGCCTGCAAAAAAAGAGTTCAGAAGATAACAATCAGGGAAGGTAACTGTTTTATAGTGCCATGAGAAGAGCTTTCAGATAAATGTTGGGCTTGATCTC